TTCCCACAACTTCTACACCAAGAAAACTAACGTCTCCCAAGCTTGGCTCATGAGGGCCGAGTTCAGCTCCCCGACTTTGAGCCTAAACTGCTCAATTTTAGCGTCAACCTCTTGGAGACCTTTCGCCTCTTGGGAAAGATCGAGTGAGACCTTTTTGAACTTAGCATCCTAATTTGAGGCAAATTTCTGAGTCGAGGTGAGCTCAGAGTTCAGCTTATTGTTGGCACCTCGCTACTATGCCAAACTCTTCTCAGCCTCGACCACTTTTGCTTCAGCCTTTGCCTGATGGGCCTTAATCACCTGAATTTTGTCGAGGAATTCCCTTTCCTTGACCTTAAAGGCCACTATTTCCTCTTTAAGTCGTTCAAGCTTGGCCTGTTTCGAGTCCTTCTCCTTCTTCTTCTTCTTCGCTACATTGACATCCTCCTTGAGCACATCTGCTTCTTACCACCCTTGATGAGTACTCGCCAACGTGGGATACCTCTCATCATAGGGGAGCTTGGTCGATACGCAAGCCTAAAAAAAATGATGAGAGTTGGCGAGGAATAAAGAGAAGTGTTTATAAAAAAATGGAAAAAAAGGCGAACTACTGATACCTTGGTCCCATAGCTGCATACCCAATTCAACAGGTGGGAAGGAGACCAGTCTCTGATGCCTGCATAAGTTACAGGTTGACAACATCCCTGGCTACCGAGGCCCCAACATCGATGTGCTCGGGGAGCTCATCGATCATTGCATCGAGTTCAACTTGAGCTGCCTCGTCCGTCACTTTGTCTCCCTGCTAAGGCAAGCTTGACTTCTTAGGGCAGGAATGACAGCTTCGCCTATAGGAACAGATTTCTTCTTGGCTAAGTCCTCGGCTACGGACTTCTTAGGGCCACCTTGTTACTCAGCGACCTTTTGTTTTCTCGAGCTCCAATACGGCTCCGTTGACTTCTTCTTACTAGAGCCTCATGCTGCATTGACACCTTTTCTTTGCTTGAGCCATCATGCTGCTTAGGCGCCTTCTGCTTCCCCTAGCTTCTAGCTGGCTCAAAGGTCTTCTTCGCCGAGCTCTTTTGGAACTCGGGGGCACTCTTCTCCCCGACTGCCTTGGGGGTAGTCACAGGCTTCTTGGCATTTGGGTCTTCCCTAAGCTCACCATTGCTTTGTTTGAAGATCGAGCATGAGGCACCCTACCCGACCATTCCAACAGCATCAATGAGCTGCTTCTTCACCGGAGCGATCGATAGTTTCTTGGCAGCTCTGAAAGCCGCTGTCTTATTCTTCAGGGCTTTTGGTTTCTCTTCCCACATTTCTACAAAAGAAGAAGCAAACAATTAGTGACCTATAAAAACATAAAAGAAGAAAGACGAGCAAGTAAGTACTTAACTTTTTCGAGAATAGTGCTGAATGTGGGTTCGTTCGCACAAAAGCTGTACGCCGTCAGCCAAGGAAGTGAGATGATCTTGTTAACATCATGCTCCTTTTTGGAAAGATTGGTGAAGTGCTGAAGCCATGCTAAGCTCACAGCAGGGAGAAAATTTTGCTAGACGTTTACTACAAAACAAAGAAATTCAATCAGCCTAACAATCGAGCTTGGAAACACTCTTCGCACATGTAGGGGTCAAAGTCTTACTAGCTTTCGAAGCAAAGACGCTAGTCTCCCCGACCTCACAAAAGAAAAATTAGGAATCCTAATGTGAGACTTTCTTAGGGACGTCGACTGAATTGTTGAAATGCACTTTCCTCACCTTGGAGAGATAGTACGTTTGGTCTTGACCTTTCTTTAACCTATATAAGTGGACAAGCTCCTCAACAGATGGCTCGCCCAACGCAGCTATTTGGTATGCTATGTATAGACCTACAATTATAATGTAAGAATTCACAGTCAGCTGGAGAGGGACGATGTCGAATCATCTCAAAACGCTATTGATGATATGATGGGCGGAGATAAACAGCCCGCACCTCAAAAGGGACCTAGAAACTACCACGCAGCCTGTAGGGGATTCTTTCGGGAGAAGCCTCCCAAAGCCCTCAAGTTAAGTCGAGGCGCATAAGTTTCATTTATGCGCCTAAGATCCTCGGCATCAATCAAGGATTGTGGCTCCTTGCGCGGCCTATGAGCTGGAGACTTCTTTAGTTGAGCGACCTCCATAGAGGCATGGTTAAAAGAGCCTGCCGCATCAGGGCCTGAGCTCCATGTAACAACCTCTTCGAAAGCCTTGGGGACTATGCCCCTAGGAACTGCTAAACCCATTAGGGAATCAAACATTCGATCAATGGTATGACTACTTGACGAAGACATGACGACTCGCCTCTAGGTACTTGAATAGAAGCGAACATGTGTTGAGCTCCAAAACTTGGCGACCGATCCACACTTTTCTCTCAGTTTAGGCACCTAGGGTAGCTCGCGTCGGATGACAGACATACGTGACCTACCAGGATTTTGGCAGCCACCACTATAAACTCTCCTTAAACCCAAGACTGTTGGAGACACTCAAAAACCCTAGCAAAGCTCTAAAAAGCTCAATGTGGCCACGACAATGGCCACCCTTAATCGTAAGAAGGAATAAAAGTAATTAAAGGAGGGTAAAGTAACCTTACCGAAGTACAAAGCTAGAAGAAACTGGTTGGAAGAGCACCATGAAAGCGAAATAGCAACAACGGAGTAAGCACAAAAAATTCTCAACTTTCACAAAGTGTGAAGAAGTTCTGACAATGATTGCCCGCTTTTATAATGGCTTGCATGGGAGACAAAATGGCAGGGTTTGATCATAGCTATCGATCTACAGTAAATCTCGACCCTCCATTTGTCAAGCAATCTTGGCCCTTGGATGTGGCCACGTGTCAATCACCTGTGGCGGGCAATTAACCGTCAAACTATTGTAATCATAACCATCATCGCACATCGCCTCAACTTTGTGCATGGTCAGTTGTAGTTGCCCACGCGGAACAAAAAGTAACTGCCAAAGGTTGCTGCATTTAATGCGACATGACCGTGTAGAAGTTACACATATACCCTTTATTTCAAATTTCGAATTTGTCAAGAATATCATAGCAGAAAAAAAGCCAAGTGTTGGATACATCGACTAGATATGAGTCCGACTCACAAAGCTCAACCGAATCTGCATTTAGCAAACAACCGATGATGTTCGAGCTTAATACCAAGTCGAGCAATAGTTTTCAAAGCTCGAAACGAGCATCGAACTTTAGGGGACAGATGTTGTGTGTGATTTTTCCATCAAGCTTGGAGAATTGTGAGGTTATACCTCGATCCATAATCAGTTTAACTCAATCAATTGTCTGACCCAATATAAGCTCGTCGAGTTGTAGCTTGACCTAGCATAAGCTAGTCGCAACCAATCCTTACAGTTGTTCAACCAACTCACAAATAACTTCGGATCTCGGATATCGTGGGATGATTAGATCGACGACAATCTTGGCGCGATCATAGCGCCCAATCGTGAGAATATCGGAGTTGTATTTCAATCTTAATTGTAATCCTTTTATTTTTGCTCTTTCCTTTGTACAAAATCTGTATATAAACCCCTATCAACGATGAGAAAGGGGTTAGCAAATTATTCTAGGATTATCACTGTAAGCTTTCACAGCAAATATAAAAACAGTGGACGTAGTCTCAAGAGTGTAACTTGCCGAACCACTTTAAAAACACACTGTGCCATTTACTTTACTACATTTTTCTTTTTAAACATTGCTGGTTACCCGGAATCACGCACACATTAGTTTCAATCTCGTCAAGGTCGATCAGATCACTCTAGTTGGTGTATTTTTGCATCAACAATACTTATTTATTATCTGGTTATATTATCAATATATATTCAATGATGGCTGCCTACAAATAAATATCGAATCCCTTGAGTTAGAAAATATTAAAATGAAAAATTGGGATCTATAATATTACTAATGTAGAAATATTATTGTGTATTTGTTGGTTATGAGAAGATAACATGAATTAGAGAGGGAAGAAGAGGAATTAAGCAATCCAAGTTAAACCTAATTGACGCTGCTCTGATTGTAATCAACTGTTATGTTTATATTAGTAAGTACAATTTAATGTGCATTTGGTTCGGGGTAATAAAAGATAACTCAGGTAATCTATCTTTTAATTCGGTCATTACCATGTTTGGGTGTTAAGTAATAAAAGATTCTGATAATTTCTAATACCAATAATGATTACTGTATGTAATAAGGGGGATAAATCTAATTACTGGTCGAAAGGGTGTTGTTTTTTTATTACCAGGGTAATCCAAATTTTGTTCATGTTTTACCCTTAATTAATAAACATTTTGGACACAAATGCCCTCATATGTCTACCAAATAACAATTAGCTCAAATGTGCGAAATAACTTCTGTAACCTCATAAATTAATTTTTTGGACATAAATGCCCCTCACTATTTACATGAATACCACCCAAAATAAGTCAGCCACTTAAGAGGACTATCGGTCATAGACCACCGCCGACGGCTGGCAATCGTCTTTGATGGCTAGTTATTTTGTTAAATTTTAAACTTTTGTTGTGGTTGAGGTGTTTTAGCTAAATTATCAAGTGTAGGGGGTTAAAAGTAATACTCTAAATAATAAGGGTAATTTAGTAAAAGTCTATCCCGATAATATTTTATTCTTCCCAACCAAACACATTAATTATTTATACCCACCAATTTAATGAAACATGTTTAATATAATATTTTCAATAATTTTCAAGGTAATCTATTTTCCCATTAATATAACATTCCCAATAATACAATATTTCTTAAACCAAATGCTACTTTACTTTTTACCCACTGAACGTTATTTTGCATTCGATTTATCCTAGGTTCTCATGATTCAAGCCCATTTCTTAAGGAGACAACTTTGCTCGAAGAAAATGAGATACGACAAAAATTGAATTTTAGACTTTGAAATATAAAAGTTAGGCAAATATAGATCTTGGTTTAATCCCGAACAATTGATAAGTGAATATCATCAATCAACAAAATGATACACATTTTTCTTCCACAATCATCGGTTGATATGCCAAATTTTCTTGCTTCTTGGCCCATATTACATCACCCACATTAGGTGCGTCTTGAATATGTGGCGGCCCTGCTTGACCAATTTCTACCAGCCACCACAAAAAAAGCAAGCAAAATAAACAGCTTATACATCTAACTTGACTTTTCAACCATGTTTTTGATCTTTTGTTCATTATTGAATTTCATAAATTGATATAATCTTTCAAATCTCGGGCCCTTTAATCATCTAATATACATTTAGATACTTAATCTCCAGCTATCATGGATGTGAAGTCAAGACTAAAAGGTAAAAGAAATAAAAAAGGAAAAGAAAAGAAAAGGACAATATGCTTGTAATATTTTTTGTTTTTTTCTCTATTTACAGCTAAATTTTTGGTTAAAAATTCTAATATAACAAAAAGAAGCCTCAAGGTACTCTGTGCCTCTCAAGAGCACTATAAGTAACTGAATTTTTCTTCGTTCTCGTTTCGGGATTGCTCATTGGTTTAACCTTGCAAGGAATTGTGTTAAACGTTGAGGGGCGCGGACAAGTCCTAGGCCGCGAAGAGAAAGATGCACACTCCGCCGCCGATCTCTGATTCGGAAGATTAGGAATACAATTTCTTGTCACGTCAAGAACCCCACTATCGACCAGATTCTTACACAACGGTCCAACTAGAGTGAAATAATTATTTGACAAAGATAACTTCACCAAACTTCCCGCTGCACACAACACTTCAGGCACCTGCCCGTATAGTAAATTTCCAGCAAAGTTGAGCTGCTCTATCTTCCCCAAACACCCTAACGACCGTGGTAATGGACCAGTTAATAGATTGTTACTAGCATCAATAACCGTAGCTTCTTTCAGAAACCCTAGTTCATATGGGAGACAGCCTGAGACTAGATTATTCAAGAACAAAACTTCCTGTAACGTTGCAGAAGCCTTGCCGATGCTACTTGGTATTGGACCGGTGAATTTGTTGTTAGCCAAGGTGATATAACGTGCCGGTGTAGAACCCAGAGTATCCGGGAGAGTTTGACCAAAATTATTGTTATTCAGGAAGAGTATTTCTAGTTTTAACAAGAAAAGTTGGGGAGGAACAGGCCCTGAAAAGAAATTATATCGAATATCTAAAAATGATAGGCCACTCATCTGAAGAATTTCCTGAGGAAAAGGACCGGAAAATTTATTGTTACTTACGTCTAGCTCGTATAAAAATGGGAGTTTCGCAAGTTTTCCCGGCAAAAAGCCAGAAAATTTATTGGAATTGGCATGGAAGAGAGCAAGATCCGGTAGTCGGTCGAGGAAGCCGTCAAGAGTTGGGGCTTCGAGGCCAAAGCTGTTGAGATCGATGGACGCAAGGGCGGTGGCAGATTCATTGTCAGGCGGGTGATCACAGTAAAAACCTGTGTAGTTGCATACATCAGATCCAACCCAAGTGCTGGTGATGCCTAAGGGATCAGATGTGATTGTGTCCTTGAAGGTTTGGATAATGGGGTAAATAAGCGCGAGTCTGAGGTCTAAGAAGGATAACAGGTCTGGTATTAATGGTAGTGGGGGCAATAGAGAGGCTTGAGAATATATACAGAGAAAGCAAGGAAGGAGGAAGATTAGAGTTTTAGTGAAGCGTTTGAAGTGAAAGTTGATGATGGTATCCATTTGATGAATGAGGAGAAGAGAGATGGGAGGGGAAGAGGGTGACTATGAAAAGATTTTGATCTCTGTATTTAATAGTGGTTATCATTTGTGTGGTTGTTAAAGTCTTACTCAATAAAATAGCATATATACATGTACATATATATATAGATGGAAATTGTGGTAGGTCAAAGACAAGATTGTCAAATTCTACATGTTTTAATTAAATCATATATATTAATTAACCAAATCCATGAGTTCTTGCTTTGCATTTATGTGTAGCATTAGGTCAATTGTGTTCATCTCAACTAATCTTCGAGATACATTAAACACTTTAAAAACCAAATCTTCTAAAGTAAACCATAAATGTTGTAGGTGAATCCAAGGTGGTTCAAAAACAAAAAGTCAATAAAAAGAACAAACCTTCTTGACCGTCAAGCCTTGGGGTTAGGTTACTCAAGTTTATTATAGTTTGAATATAATAAATCTCTTGATTATGTACATTAAACTATTTTCTGTGTGATGTTAGTTACTTATGATTTTCGCGGCTTCAATAACTGAATTCAGGAGTAATACTAATTATATCCTGTAACTTTGGATACTGACACTTGATTCCTTCAAAGCAAAGAAACTACCAACCCCACCACACTTCTGCCATTAGTTTTCGGCATTACTGCTTGAATTCATTTTAAGAAAGCATTGAATAAAGTTTTTTTCTTTGTTAACTAATACAAATAGAACCATATGGATGCTTATTAAAAAAGTTTAATACAGAAAATATATGTACTTTCTTTTACAATATTATTCATCATATGAATAATTTTAATTCTTTGTGTTTTTGTAATTTACTTTTGGTGAACTGGACTCCATAACATCTAACAAAGTACCATTATTGAAGGTCATTTCTTGAGTACATTTATCATGAAGAAGACATAGATTAACTGAAAAAGAAAATATTTCCTCTAAAAGTTTTATTGGTTTTCGTTGTCCACAAACATTGCTTACGAAAAGAATTGTAGATTGTCCAATTAATAATGTTTCCACCGTCCAAAGTTGAGGCATGTGTTCACATTATTTTCCAAAAGCAATGATCAAACATTAAAGGAAATCAGTGCGCCAACCAAAGAGAAACAGTAGTGGAAGGAGAATAACATCTTTTTTGAAACTTTAGTGCCTGCGTAGTGCTACCCTGCTTTCATTGAATTTGTAAGTAGTAAAATAGATATTAAAGAATTAGGAGATAAAAATCCAATTGCAATATTGAGGTGCAGTAAGTACTTATTATGAAAGCACTTTCGATGTCTACTATATGATTAGTCTAAAGACCAAACTCTGATATCCTTTTTTTTTTTTTTTTTTTTTTAATTATTAAAAGAGAGAAAAAAGGTATAGAAAGACCATAAAAAATCAGTCATCCTACCTCAGGACAGTTTTAAGATAGAAACAAAAACACAAACTTAATAGACTAAGAGCCTAATCTCCTCTTGTTTATCTATCTTAAGCAGACGAAAGAAAGGAGCAAACAAAAGAATATAAAGACAAAAGCATCCTATCATACAACATGCCCTTGTTCCTACAGGTGCTGATATCTGTTTCACTACTTTACACCTTTTTATTTTATTTTATAAATGTATATAGAAATTAATAAGATGCTATAATGTTCATAATCAAATATGGTGGGTTCATGAATCTGGAAGATTTAAAATCCGAATTGTTTCAATATACTTGGAAGTATGACCAATCTACACTTCTTATCTTTGAAAAGTTATTTATTTATTTATACGGCGAATCGTTTAGCATTTTATGAGGTAAAATGCTTTTGTTGACAGAGATAGTCAAGTGAGAAGAATTATTTCATTTCTTTTATAAGATTGTTGATGTGTTTGGTTCAATATTTGAGCCAAACTTGTTTACGTGTCCAGTAAAACTAAGAAAAATTCTTCAGCCTTGGTCATTAGTTAAGTTCTTCCTGGTCTCTGTCATTCTGTTAGAAAAACTTTAGTTCTTCCGGGTCGTTAGTAGTGTAGAAATTGTTAAGTTCTTCCTTGTCAGGGTTTCACTTTCACAGCTAGTAGAAAAACTTCTAAGAAATTGTGCCTGTTTTTGGTTTGCCCTTCCCTCCTCTACTGTATAGTGTCTACGCATGCGTAATCTATAAGACTTTTTTCCCCATTTTCATATATTTGTCAAGGCCATCAATTCTTCCTTTCTAGAAACCAATAGGTACGCGCCATATCTCTTTGTACACATCTTTTCTTTTACCTGCAAGTTGACAAACTTTTATCTCCACTTTTGTTTTGTATCCAAAGCAACATTAATTTAACATAATTATAATGTGGATTATTAATATTTGTATTCCAACAGACATTAATTTATCGTGATTATATTATCAAATGTTCAATGATCCTGTTCCATGATCAGGTTGACAGACCCAAGGCCAACGACGTTGGTGTATTGCAAATACTGTGTCAACGTTTACATGGCGTCCGCATATTGTCGATTATAAGAGGAAAAGCTGTAGGATACCAATCAACACTCATACCTCAACGTGAGTGATGTTGGGGTATGGCAAATGGAAATTACTGCTGACACTGTGGACACTTTGGCGTAATGTTAGTAAACTCGCATCGGCTTCCGGTCGTCGGGCATACACCAATTCTGGTAGTAGATGTAGATTTATAAATCAACATTATATTATTATCGGTATGTAACTAGTATTATCTCTAATTTCAAGCAGATTTTTTTTTTCCTGACATTAGAGTGAAGAGGCGGAAGTAAGAAACAAAAATTGATGCTGCTGTGATTCTAATAAAAAAGCTGGTTCATTGAGTAATTGAAATACATTAAAAATTTCAATAGCATATACAGTACTTAATAATGATAAGATAAAGCGCAAGAATTGTCAACTTAAATATCTCTTGAAGTGTACTACCATCCGAACAGTATTGAAGATAAATGGTACAAAGCACAAGAATTCTTAACTTAGAAATCTCTCGCTACCGACAGAACAGTTTTTTGGGCCTCAAGTGCCGACTAACATAAGCCCGTGGAAGAAGATGCTGTCATGGGTTTAAACCCATTTCTAGCCTAGACAAGTTTGTGACATTTCATTTATGGGCTGAGCATTTACTTTTCTCACTATATATATGTATATTATTTATTTTTATTGTTAAAGAAAAAACGCTTGAAACTGGATCGGAACGTGTCTCGGTCAAGTGACTGGTTTACGGTTTAAGCGATCGGACCGGTCGAACCGACGGGTTTCCCTCACCGTCATTTTTTATTTTATTTTTATTTCTTCATCTTCTTGAATCTTCACCTGTCCCTCATCAGCATCACCACCCTATCCCCTCCCCTTGTTTCTTTCTTCTCACCAAAAAACAACCTAGCCACACCATTATCTTCTTTTTTTTTCTTTTTATTTCTTCACCATCTTCACCACCTGTCCCTCACCATCACCACCCCTCCCCTCCCCTTATTTATTTTTTCTCACCAAAAAACAACTCAGCCACACCATTATTTGTTTTCTTCTTTATTTCTTCATCATCTTCACCCCGTCTCTCACCATCACTAGCACCACCCACTCCCCTCCCCTCCCCTTATTTCTTTTTTCTCACCAAAAAACAATCCAGCCATAGATCTATAATAGATCTCCTAAACCCAACCGCCCTTTCACTTCTCTTCCCCACATGTCTCCAAAACCAAGCCAAATGAAACACAACTAAATGTCTAAACCAGAAAACCCACAGATCTCCGGATGGTGATGGATGTTGTTATGCCTGGAAAAGTAGGGCTAACGTAGAGCTCTATCAGCGTAAGTGGTCAGAGCTTAGGTAAGTCCAACAACCATTCAGGCAAAGCTACGTCGCACGCTGACGCAAGCAGCATGCTCCTGCCAGTACAGTAGGTATGCACTAGGCTGGTGAAAGGCTGGAGGAGATCCACATGTCCAATCCCTGCAAGAGTCGAGTAAATCACTCGAGCAGGTGAGCAACGGGACTCTAGGAAGGATTTGCACAGCAATCTGACCCACTCCCTAATTTAGTAATCATTACCTCAATTCATCCCACTATAAATAAAGGGATTCTCTCCCGTTTATGGGATTAGCTAATTTTTCTCTAGAATAGCATAAATACTCTCTCTCTCTCTCTCTCTCTCTCTCTCTCTCTCTCTCTCTCTTGTAACCTCTTGTAAATCAGCTCGCTGAACACGACTTGATCTCAAATATATTAATACGATATCAGTGGACATAGGATTTGCTTACTTTAGTATCCGAACCACTTTAAACACTGTTCTTCACTCTTTATTCAGCTTAATACCCCCTGTACACGTGTGTCTTCTCAATCAGCTTAGCATTTCCCACGTGCGTTTAGTTGGTGTCAAAATCACGCATCAACAGTTTGGCACTAGAAGGAGGGCCTGATTTAGTATTCGTCCTTCATCAGGAGAATCTCTAACGAATCGGTCCAACAGTAAATGGCTCGCAGATTCAAACCTGAGCGAACCAATCATGGTGAAGAAGAGATCCCCCAGGTGCAAAAGGACACTTCTTCTGAAGTGCCCCCAGTTCCAGAAAATCTTGTGGGGGATATTCCTTCAAGCTCATGGCTTGATCCAGCCATCATGAGCTACTTGGAGAGGTTCAACAATACTCTTCAAACGGTTAACCAAAGGTTGGACTGTTTGGATCGGGTCACACCACCCGAATCAAATGAGGTTGTGCCACCACCAAAAACGCCTGCAGGTCGCATGAAAGCACGGAAAAAGATGATAGCCCGTGCCGCGTGCATTGCAGCGCGTCAAAGGAAGGGAAAACAGGTGGCGCTCCAAAGGACCAACGAACACTAACCACACCCTGGGTAGAATACCCATGGCGCAAAGACTCTGTGATAGGTCGCAGCCCGAGCTGTCCCATGCCACATCGCGTGAGCACTCCTACAAAAGTGCTAGGTGGGGAGATTCCCACCATCGCCAAAATGACGACCCCAATCATCGTCGCCCAAGAAGTTCCTATCGTCCGCGAGTTAGTTTGCACCACCGCGGAGGTCGGGAAGGTTCCCTGGACCATTCATCACCATCGGATGACTCTAGCCAGCGTTTGTCAAGAGCGGCCG